GTGTGTGTGTGTGTGTGTGTGTGTGTGTGTGTGTGTGTGTGTGTGTAAGGGGGAGCTCTTAAGAGGATTAGAGTTTTAATTAGCAGATTTATATGCTGATGGATCATAGCAGTTCACTTGTAGCTAGAGTCTATTTACTTGTAATAAATGGTGATTCTTATTAAGAATAGAAACATGGTCCATACTTTCTGTCAACCTGGAGCTAAGAAAGCAGGTAAATTGAAAGTTGTACATATTTTTTAAAATCTTTAACTTTTGTGATGACTCTGGGAATAGAAGGGCTTGATTTCCAGCACGCATTCCCAGTGATCCATACTCTGGAATTGGAAAGATTATGGCCAGAAGGACAAAACAGACTGTATCTTCAAAGCAGAACTGCACTCTAATCCCAGTTATATTCCGTCTTTCCAAATGCTTAAGCCATTTTCAATTACGTAAGTCAGACTAAAATCATCATCTCAATAGAATCTTCATAGAATCCCAATAGTGTGGAAACAGGCATTTCGGCCCAACAAATACACAGCATCCCACCCAGACCCATCCCCCATAAACCACCTGATCTACACATCCCTGAACACTATAGGCAATTTAGCACAGCCAATCCACCTAGCCTGCACGTCTTTGGACTGTGGGAGGAAACCGGAGCACTCGGAGGAAACCCACACAGACACGGGAGAATGTGCGAACTCCACACAGACAGTCGCCTGAGGCTGGAATTGAATCCAGCTGCCTGGTGCTGAGAGGCAGCAGTGCTAACCACTGAGCCACCGTGCCGCCCCTAATCTTGAGTCATCATAGGCCATTAGGCCCATTGAGTCCAGACCGCCCTCTGAAGAGCATCCCACCCAGACCTATTCCCCTTCCCCATCCCTGTAACCCTGCATTTCTCGTGGTTAATCCACTTAGCCTGCACATCGGGACAAATTAGCATGGCTAATCCACCTAACTTGCACATTTTTGCACTGTGGGAAGAAACCGGACCACCCAGAGGAAACGCACATGGACAGAATGTGAAAACTCCACACAGACAGTTGCCCAAGGCTGGAACTGAACCCAAGTCCCTGGCGCTGTGAGTTGCCAACTGACTGAGCACTACCCACGCACAACTTCACTTTCTCCATGAACGCCTCAGGAGCCAGGTACTGCCCTGCAGTGTGAAGTACAAACCTCCACTCAACAACACACAGGCATATAAAGTAGCTGAACAGAATGGACGCAGAATGCTATGAGTAATGATTAATGGTGCCCATGACCAACTCCACAGGTATGAATAGGAAATTTTGCGTCAAAAATCACAGTATCTAAAACTACAGACCAGCAGTGGACTACAACCCTAGAACAGGCCATCACCATCAACCAACACAAAACCAAAACTAAGAAGAGACACAAGCTACAGGAGAAACTCACCAAACTGATCCACCACAAAGACAAGGACAACAACAAACCGGACAGATGGGTAAGAAACCTATCCAGCAGACAACTCACAGAAACTGAGAAAGCTGTCCTATTACGCGGACTGAACTATAACTACAAAGATGCGAACAGAACAGACTTCATGGCTGCCCTGGAGACTACATTAAAAGACAACAGACTCACGGACAAAACACAACAAGCCAATCAACAAACTATAATCCCCACACTACACCGAAGGAACAAAGAGGACAACCTGAATAGAGAGAGAAAAGCACTAGATAAACTCAAGAAAGACAAGAACATCATAATCCTACCAGCAGAAAAAGGGCACATGACTGTCATTATGAACAAACCAGATTAGAAAGCACAGACATTGCTCGCAGATATGACCACTTACCAACAGGTGGCGATATACCCAACACCACAGCCAGGTCACCCAAACACTGAAACAACTATTGAATGCAGGACAGATAACCAAGATGGACTACATGAGAATGAAACCAGAAGGCATGAAAACCCCGCGCTTCTATGGACTTCCTAAAGTACACAAACCAGGCAACCCCCTCAGACCCATTGTCTCCCGATCGGGCACACCTTTACATAAACTGGCCAAGGGCCTACAACAGAGATTGAAATATCTAGTTGACGGATCACCCCATTCCATCCACTCAACCCAAGATTTCCTCAATACCCTTCATAACATTAAAATCAGAGATGACGAGATTATGGTATCCTTTGATGTCACAGCTTTATTCACATCAATCGACATCCCACTAGCAAAAGAAACAATGGCCACATTACTAGAGGAAGCAGCAATGCAGGCCAGCAGCTCCATCAGCAATGACAACATACTTAAACTACTAGACCTCTACTTCACCACACACTTCATCTTTAATGGTCAAGTATACAAACAGATTAATGGTACATCAATGGGGTCACCCATCTCAGAACTCATTGCAGAAGCAGTCATGCAAAGATTAGAACATGCCACCCTCCTCTGCATTCAACCTAAACTGTGGATCCAGTACGTAGATGACATATTTGTCATTATTAAACACATCAAATTAGAAGAGACCCACCACCTCATCAACAGCATATTCGCAGGGATTAAATTCACAAGGGAAGAAGAAAACGACTATCAACTTTTGTTTCTGGATGTTAAAGTTGAGCATATGACCAATGGGGAGTTCCAAACCTCGGTATACAGAAAAGCATCCCACACTGATTAAATCCTCAACTTCCACAGCAACCACTCCAACGCCCACAAACAAAGCTGCATTAGGACACTATTTAAACGGGCCAGGACTTATTGCAACATTCCGGAACTACACAGGAAAGAGGAAGAGCACCTACACAAGATCCTCGCCTTAAATAGATATCCATGCAACTTCATCTGCAGATGCCTACTAAACAGACAACAGCAGGAGGACACAGTACAACGTAATACACTGGCCACACTGCCCTATATCTAGAACATATCGGAACTGACAACAAGTCTTCTAAGACCATTAGGAATCATGGTAGCCCACAAGCCCACAGCCACTCTACAACAAACACTCACGAGGATTAAAGACCACATTCCCACAACATGCAGAACCAACTTGGTTTACAAAATACCGTGCAATGACTGCCACAAGCATTACATTGGACAGACAGGAAGGAAACTAGCCATCAGAATACATGAACATCAACTAGCAGCAAAACGGCACAACAAACTCTCCTTAATATCGGTACACTCAGACAATGAAGGCCATCAGTTTAACTGGGACAAGGTAACCATAGTAGCCCAAGCCAAACATAGAGACATACAGGAATTCTTAGATGCATGGTCCTCCACCGATAACGCAATCAACAAACATATAGAATTGGACCCCATATACAAACCCACACGGATCAAAACTGGAAATGACACTACTCACCATAACAGACCGGACAGTATAAATTCCAAGTGAAGTAGAATAACATCGCTTCATCGGAGGCTCCACTGATGATGTCACCTAGCATGGTGATGAAATCTCTGAACGAGAACAAGCCAGCTCAGCGAGCAAGTCAACAACCTCACCCACAACCCAATCTACAGATTTTTGCCAAAACTTTAAAGCAGTGCTAACTACAGAGCCAACATGCCGCCCCTTATGCCACCTATCTTAACAGATAAAGCAAACCATATTTAAATAACTGTGGAAAATGTCTTCTAATTCATTCCTACAGTGATAATAAAGAACCTATAACCCTTAATTTGAACTGGGATCGGTTAGCTCAGTTGGCTGGACAGCAGGTTTTTGATGCAGGGTGATGCTAAAGGCATGGCTTCAATTCCTGCACCAACTGATGTTACCATGAAGATCTCTCCTTCTCAATCTCTCCATCGCCTGTGGCGTGCTGACCCTTAGGTCAATCTCAGTATCAAATATCTTTCTCTAATGAAAGCGGGGTCCTCTGGGACTATGACGACTTTAAACATGTAGAACATAGAACAGTACAGCACAGGAACAAGTCCTTAGGCCTGGTGTGCTGACCAGGACGTCATTCTAAATTAATCCCATCTGCCTGCACATCGCAAGTGTCCCTCTGTTCCCTGTCTGTTCACATGTCTATCTAAATGCCTCTTAAATGTCACAATAGTATCTGCTTCTACCACTTATCCTGGCAGCACGTTTCAGGTACCTACCACCCAGTGCATAAAAAAACTTGCCTAGAGCATCTTCTTTAAACTTTAACCCTCTCACCCTAAACCCACACACCTAATATTTGACATTATTGTAGCTTTTTTTTTCTTGTGTAATAAACTTAATTCTTTCATTAAAAGTACACGAACAGTCACTTGTGAACGTGTTCAGTGGCTGACCACCACTGTAACCAAAATGTAAAACTGAAACTTATGGTCCGTCAAGCCAGGTTTCACTCAGGGATTTGACATGTCCTGTATTACCATCAGCTGGAATCAATAACAGTATGTAGAAGGTAAATACGTCCAACAGCCTAAACAGATTGGTGTACGAGAAAGAAACCTAAGGAAAATACAGAAGGCACTAACATCAACAAGGAGTGATAGAAATGATTAGAGGTCCAATATGATCTCTGTGCAACAGGTGGGTTTTGAACAAGTTAAAGTCTCAGCCAAGATCTCTCACCGGGCAATGTCTGCATCAAAGGATGACACCGCTGGATTGAGGCGCTGGTAACGGCGGATGAAGGAATCTTTGTTAATCTCCCAGATCTCACGATAGGTGTCCCAGGTTTTCAGATAGTTCTGAAGATTTGAAGCATTGGTCGCCATGCCAGAATTGATCATACCTTGGATCTTCCTAATTTCGTCATCATTCTCTACAAGAAGTAAATGCATCGTAATAAGAACTTTCACTTATATAACTCCCTTATGCAGTAAATTATTCCAATGTGATCTACAGCAATGCAACATTTGACACTGAGCTAAAGGAGATCATGTTGAGGTTGTACAGGATATTGATGAGGCCTCTTCTGGAATACTATGTCCAGTTCTGGTCACCTAGTTATAGGAAGAGTATTATTTAGCTGGAGAGGGCTCAGAAGAGATTTACCAGGCTGTTGCCAGGTATGGAAGGTTTGAGTTATAAAGAAAAGCTGGATAGGCTGGGACATTTTTAATTGGAGTGTAGGAGGTTGACAGGTGACCTGATAGAAGTTTACAAAGTAATGAGAGGTATAGATAGAGTTAACAGTAGTTGTCTTCCCTAGGATGGGGGATTTCAAGACTCGGGGGCACATTTTTAAGGTGAGAGGAGAGAGAGTTAAAAAAGACATGAAAGGCAAATTTTTTACACAGACGGTGGTTCGTGTGTGGAATGAATGTCCAGAAGAAGTGATGGATGCGGGTACAGTTACAACATTTAAAAGACCTTTGGATAGGTACATGAATAGGAAAGGTTTGGCGAGATATGGACCAGGACCAGGCAGGTGGGACTAGTTTAGTTTGGGATTATGTTCGGCATGGACTGGTTTGACCGAAGGGTCTGTTTCCATGCTGCATGACTCTATGAAAGCTATAAGATTTTAAGAAGCATTTAAAGGAGCAGAGAGGGATGGAATGGATTTAGGATGGGAATTCTAGACTTTAAGAATGTGACAGCTGAAAGCACAGATTCCAATGGTTTGCAATTAAAATGAAGAATGCGTAAGATGTAGAGGTTTTGGAGGATTGTGGAGCAGGAGGAAGTTTGAGATTGGGAAAGGGTAAGAGCATGGAGAGATTGGAAAACAGTGGTGGGAATTATTTTTAAATTATGATAATGCCAGACAGGGAGACAATGTGGAATGGATTCGAGATGAATGATGGAGCAAGCTTTCCCATTTTTCCCCCCCCACCTGCTGGGTGAAATTCTTCTGCAGCCCATTTCTAGGCAACTGCAACCATTATGGGTCTGTGCGTGCCTTACCTACAAAGTAGTTAATCTGGACTGTTTAACTTTGGCTTAAAAACACACCCCACATAGAATCAATTTCTGAATAAATTTTCTGATCATTTCCCAACTGTACTCCGGGGATGTTATTCCTCAACTTCATTGTCATCTTAAACACAGAATCACTCATAAATTGGCCATCCTGAGTATACAGAACATGGGATACACGGGTAAAAATGGTTATTTGTGCCATTTTCACAGGCACATCAATTAACTTGTACCCAGTTCCTCCTTGCTTTACCCATTAGACCATAAGATACAGGAGCAGAATTAGGCCAATCAGCCCATCAAGTCTGCTCTGACATTTGATGTAGTAATGACTTCCGCAGATTCACTGTCTTCTGGCTGAAGAAATTTCTCTCCATCTCAGTACTAAAGGGTTGTCCCTTCGCTCTGAGGCTATGCCCAGCACAGATGTTAACCCTGCTTTGGGTTTTAATATCAACATTGAAATATCATGAAAATGTACACATTTGTTAAGATAGGTGCTGGTGTATTTTGATCGAATAGTATTTAGAAACAGTTTAAACCATGTCAACTAGGAGTACTTTTGTCTTCTGGGCATGTGATATATTGCAGTGTGAATTCTGGTGCGGTGTAGGCGTGATATGACATTGTGTGATGTAATTCTTTGAGGCAGGTGTTGCTCAGATCTCACCTTCCCTTGTGAATGCAGAAAAGAATCATGGCTCCCACAATCATTACTTACCAATATTTTGGAACACAGGAACCAGTGTAGATTTCCTCCTGGTCAGTAACTCTGGGATACGTTTGAAGATGGAAAGGGTGTTCTTAATCTGAAAACTGACGCTGTTGACAGTGCTTGCAAGCCTGGCTAGAGTGGGTGAAAACTCCACCTGAAAGCAAATCCAGTGAAAGCAGATGAGTAGGGAATTAGTAAATAATGAACTAAGGTACAGAACAATAACACGAAGTAGAAACAATAGGCCATTCAGCCTTGAGCTTAGATCATAGAATCCCCACAGCATGGAAACAGGCCCCTCGGCCCAACAAGTCCACACCGATCCTTGCAACATCCCACCCAGACCCACCCCATCTACACACCCCTGAACACTACAGGCAATTTAGCATGGCCAATCCACCTAGCCTGCGCATCTTTGGACTGTGGGAGGAAACCGGAGTACCCAGAGGAAACCCACGCAGACGTGAGAGAGAATGTGCAAACTCCACAGACAGTCACCCGAGGGTGGAATCGAGCTCAGGTCCCTGGCACTGTGAGGCTGCAGTGCTAACCACTGAGCCACCGTGCCGCCCACAATGAGCACATAACTTCAGTATCCCACTCCTGTTTTCCTCTCTATATAAGGTACAGGCACTACTGGGATATGAACTCAGGATCACCTATTTACTAGCCAGGCACTTTAACCAACTGAGCCACAGCACCATCACTCTTGATCCGCCATACAATTAAATCATGGTCCAGCCGTACCTCAACTCCACTTTGATCCAGATTTCTTACTTCTTTTAACCAAAAATGTTAATTTTATCAATTGTTCCTCAGCTGTTGAGGGGAAGAAAGCTTCAGATTCCGACTCCCCTCTGTGACGAAGTGCTTCCTGACATCATTTCTGAACAGTCTGGTTCAAATCTTAAGGTTTTAACCCCCTGTTCTAGACTTCCAGCTCACCAGCCACAAGTAGAAATAGTCCTTCTGTCCACCCCGCTGAATCTTGCAATATTTATAAAGATGTTTATTGGATCACCCTCAACCTTCCATATGCCACACGAGTATGAAAAAACTATAATGAGCGTAGCAAGTTGTGAAATAGTTCTACCTGTGGCGGGCCACCTGAAGTGTCATCCAGAAGAGTCACCATGACCCTGAAGAGAGCATTGGGTGTGGATTTGGGATCCCCATTGATGGCCTTGGACAACTCCAGCAATGACCGTTTAATGTTCAGTCTGAAGGCTTCTTCTACTGTTCGATCAACCTTTTTGGCATAATTCAACCAAAAATGCTGCACCTACAAGGCCACAAGGTGCAAAATCAAAATCATATTAATTATCAAACTCACTGCATTAGCAAAGTTGGTGGGAAGTGGACACACTTTAAGGGGAAAATGAATTGCAGGGTTGAAAGAACAGGCAGGAGGCAGTGGGACGAATGGATAGCATTTTGGAAGTGACAACAGAGGCACAATGGGCCAAATGGCCTCCTTCTGAGCTGTGTGATTCTACATCATTAAAAAGAATGAGGCACAATGGTTTCACTGTACCATTGGCCCATTCTGTTATATTTGATATTACTCTTGTTTGGTCTCCCAGCACTTTTGCTGATGGGCCTACCTCAAGCTATGGCCAATAGTGACCTTCTGCCCTTCTTTATAAATGAAATACCATTGAAAGGACAGCATATTATTATTTTGATTTGATTTATTATTGTCACATGTACCGAGGTACAGCGAAAAGTTTTGTTTTGCATGCTACACAGGCAGATCATACCGTACAAAATGCATTAGGGTAATAGAACAGAGCAGGGAATACAATGTTATGGCTGCAGAGAAGGTGCACAGAGAGCGAGATCAAAATTAAATTTTAAATTTGAGAGGTCCATTCAGAAGTCTAATAACAGCAGGGAAGAAGGTGTTCTTGAATCTGTTGGTATGTGTGTTTGAGCTTTTGTATCTTCTGCCTGACTGAAGAGGTTGGAAGAGATTATAACTGGGGTGGGAGAGGTCTTTGATGTTGACCACCGTTCCGAGGCAGTGAGAAGTATAAATGGAGTCAATAGATGGAAGAGGGGTAGTAGGAACTGCAGATGCTGGAGAATCCGAGACAACAAGGTGCAGGTCTGGATGAACACAGCAGACCAAGCAGCATCATAGGAGCAGAAAGGCTGACGTTTCGGGCCTGGACCCTTCATCAGAAAAAGGGTCTAGGCCCGAAACGTCAGCCTTTCTGCTCGGCTTGCTGTGTTCATCCAGCCCTGCACCTTGTTCTCTCAATAGATGGAAGGTTGGTTTGTGTGATGGACTAGGCTGTGTTCACAACTCTCTGTAGTTTCTTACTGGACTGGGCAGAACAGTTGCCATACCAAGCCATAATGCGTCTGGATTGAATAATATGGGCAAGTCTGATCCCAAAGTGAAACATGGCTTGATATATAACTTAAGTTCTGTTTTTGCTATTGGTTTACCATGGCGGTCAGTCAGTGGACATAGTCCAAAGAAGCTGCCACTGTTCTTTTAACGAAGGAACATTAAGGCTTATTACACACATAAAAAGGGAGAAAAACTTTGGAGCAAAAAAGATTGAGGGGGCCCTGATAAAGGTGTATAAGATTATGAGGGGCATGGAGAGTGTTTTTTTTAATGTATTCATGGGATATAGCTAGGCCAGCATTTATTGCCCATCCCTAATCACCCAGAGAGCAATTAAGAGTCAACCCCATGGCTGAGGTTCTGGAGTCACATGCAGGCCACACCGGGATAAGACGGCAGTTTCCTTAAAGGACATGAGTCAACCAATGAGTTTTTCCAACAATCGACAACATGTATGTATGTAATGTAGCATGAAGCATGTAAACAAAGCTTCAGACACTCTACCTCCATTCACAGAGTTCAAAAATGAAACTAAAACTACATTCAAAACCCTTCTCAGCACACACAACACCTACACTTCTCCTTGCCATGGAAAGGCTGCCAACATCATCAAATACCCCTCCAACCCCAGTAATACTCTCTTCCAACCTCTTCTGTTAGGCAGAAGATTCATAAGCTTGAACATACTTACCAACAGGTCAAGAACAGCTTCTTCCCTGCTCTTATTAGACTACTGAATGGACCTCTCTAATTTTAAACCTAATGTTGACTGTGCTTTTGTGCACCTCTTGTGCAGTCGTAATCTTGTATGCCTCGCTCCGTCTAAGTACCCTATGATCTGTATGCCTTTCCTTGTTATGATTTGCCAGTACTGCTCGTAAAACAGAGCTTTTCACTGTACTTGTGTACACGTGACAAGAATAAATCAAATCAAATCATATAAATACAAATCAGTTATATATTGTTCCTCCACTTTAGAATCCAAGTTTCCAAGTAATAATTACACATTCTGAATTGTCACAATGCACCTTTTGGAGAACTGACGTCTCCACTGAAGTGAAATGAACACACAGCACAGTGTCATCCAAAGTACCTTCTCTTTAACTCATCCTCTTCACCCCTCTCCTTTTCCCCAAAACCATTACTACCTTTTCTCAGTTCTGATGGGAGGTCATTGAACCAAAATGTTAACTCTTGTTTTTCTCTCTCTGCTGATACTGCCTGACTTTTTGAGTATTTCCAGTGCTTTCAGTCATTTCAGATTTCCAGCACCTGCAGTATTTGCTTTTTGTAAAAAGGATGTTGATCTTTCAATCCTGAAGGGTGGGTGATGCTACTTGAGAGTGGGATAGCAGCAATGATCCCTGAGATGCAGGAATTTTGTAACCCAGGGTAGTAATAAGAGAAGGAAAAGGATTGTGACATCTCGATGGTACATATACACATCAAAACACATCAAACTCACCTCAGATCCATCGCTCTTAAAGACCAGATATGTCTGACGCATGATTGCTACAATCTCCTTGTGTAGTTTTAATAGTTTTGCCTGGATGTTTTCTTGATGTGCCTGCTGTGCTTCTTCAAACTCCTTGTCATTGTATGTGCGCTTACTGTCGATATGTACCAGCAGCATTTCACTCATCTGATAGGCATATTGTTTGATTGACTGACTGGACGCTTTGTATTCATCAATTGTCAGCTGCAGCTATTTGGGAATGAAGACACTTCAATGAACAGACAGATCTCTCAAACTAATGAGATTTTGTGGATATTAAATATACATATTCCCCTGGGGACACCCTAAAACTATCATCACACTCCCCGGGGATCCCCTGCAAATACCGACACACTTCCTGGGATTCCTTGTAGATACTGATGCCCTCCCTGGGAACCACAATCGCCAGGACCCACCAGCCCACTCCAACATCCATACTCCTGTGACAATGCTGTGGCTTTAAGGGGTGTGTTTTGTCCTTTTTTTTAAAGAGAGAGATTGGGGGACAAGTGTCAAGCAGTCTACGAGAAGATAAACAACTTGCGAAGTCTTGGGTAAACAAGGTGTAGAGCTGGGTAAACAAGGTGTAGAGCTGGATGAACACAGCAGGCCAAGCAGCATCAGAGGAGCAGGAAGGCTGACGTTTC